AAACAAAATGGACAGTGTACATGTAAAAATAAACGGTTTTCAAGTTATCGTCTTTAGATTATTTTTTTTTTAAACAACCATTTGTGACATACTTACTGACTTCCCCTTGTATTAACATCAACTAGAATGTAACCGACTAAATAGAAACATCAACTGCCAGAGCTGTTGCTGCCTTACATTGGTGGTCAGACTCAGATGATACAAACAGGTGCCAGAAATGTAAGCCTCTCTTCTTGTTTGCGTTCACTAGCTGAAAACTCTGGTGAACAGTTTTAGCTCGTTGTCCTCTTCTAGACTTTGGTTTTGTTCCAGAACTTCAGCTTTGCGTGAACATCCATTTTAAAGATCTGGCTTATTTGTATGTGGACTCAGGGTTCCTCACCTCTCAGACAGAGGCTCTCTGACTTGAACAGAAACACCCCATATAAGTCGCCTTTTGTAACACTGGGGAAGAGGAGAATGGCACTGGAAGGAGTTACCAGGGGATCTGGCTGATGATCAACACTCAAGGGAAAGGCGAGACAGATTTAGTCAGACAGTTACTGGTGCCATCGGAATTGGAACTCTTCATTTGCTGCTGAAGATGGGGACTGAGTGCTTATGGGGGTGTCCTGAGTGATATGATGTCCATTCTTAATTCAACATTCAACACTGTGGATGGAGAAAGCAGTGGGTCTATTCTGTTTCAGCCCCAAATGGAGTTCCAAGACCCAGACAGGGAATGTAGGAATTTGATATATACATATCCTGCCCCCCTCTCCTATTGTTTCCAAATCTGAAATGGTTAATTACCTTGATGACTGATTTCAGAATTGACATCATGCACATGAGGTTTACCTAGAGGTGCTCCGTCTCCTGCAGTTCATGCCTTATGGTGTGACAACTGGTTGTACTAGTACCACATTGGTTGTGCAGACACCATATATTTCTTACATATTCTTTCTTGCTGGATCCATATTTAATTTCAAATCTGCACAATCTTTATTCTGGTCTATATATATATATTACAAAAATGAGAACATAAGTTCATAAGAGGAACAAATGTGACAAGAAATACATAATGATTTAATTAAGCACTGTTCTTATAAGATTTGTTTGGTTTTTCAGTCTGTATTTACTGAATTTCATAACAGGATGCAACAAACATATGGTGATGAAATAAAAATATCTGACTCATAATATATATTATTTGAAGATTATTCTTGAAATCCGCTGCTCTAATATTTATATGTTTAGTTTTCTATGTCCAATGTGTACTTTTCTATCTCAAGCAACTGTTATTTTAAAGTACTGTCTTGGTCAAAAGTTAAATGAATTATTCTAGGATAGAAATAGTTTCCATAGCAGAAATAGGATTAGAAATAAAGGCGGTCTGAAAGACATATTGGGGAAGGGAGCTAGATAGTGACTTTAAAAAATGGGGAAAACATTCAGTGAGCTGAATGCAACAACAAAGGACAGGTAGACTTGGTGTGAATCAGTTCAGGGAATATGCTCCACTGGGGAATAAAGGGTGGAAGAAGCAGTAGCAGGAAAAGAATGAATTAAAGCAAAGACTAGAGAATGAAAAGGTAACAATTCAATACAAAAAAGATTTCATGTTAGAGCTGGCACAAAGTGAGTTAAAGCAATGACTAGAACAGAGGTGGACAGTGCCAGAACTCAATGGATAAAGTAAGTAGCTAATGATGTTTTTATGCATACTAAGCAACCTTCCTGTGTTGATTCCAGGAATCTGTTTTGGTGAGAAAAAAAACTAACAGACCTATTGTCCATTAAAAAGCATGCAAGGCAAGGCAAATAATTACAAGGTTACTAAAATTTGATGTGTTGGGACCCATAGGGTGCAGATATTGCTGCCTAACTTTAGACCACAACATAACATGCCATCCACCATTTTAAGGATGAATGCAGGAGGAGGAGGAGGAGGAGGAGGAGGAAGACGGAGAAGGAGAAGAAGAAGAATGAGGAGGAGGAGAAGAAGAAGATCAATGACAAACACTCATACCTTTGTTTCATAACTTAAAAACACAAAGTCAAAATCACAATTCTATACATGTATTAATTAAGTGTTTGGTCTGTACACATACTAGGTCAAAGAGACATTAGGTAGGGCAGCTAACTCATTTTATTCACATGTATATATTCCCATACAATTTGCAGGAAATCTCAAAACTGTACATTACGCATGATACGATGCTTGTCAACTGTACTGTGTGGTAGATTTTCTCAGTATGATGAAAGTCTTTGAAATGCCGCTCTTTAAATGTTCAAAATGTATTCTGATTTAGTTGCTTATGCCAACCCCCCCCCCCCCCCTCCAACCCTTATGGTGCCACCTCTCTGTATCATAGCAAGGCACAACCCTGCTTGTCGACCCCACATTTGTATGGGATAGGACCCACTCACAGCTGTGTGGAGCTGAACAAGCTTCAAGTTGTTTGAGGCTTAACTGGCTCACAGCTGTGTGAAGCTGAACAAGCTTCAAGTTGTTTGAGGCTTAACCAACTCTACAGCTGTGTGAGGCTGAACAAGCTTCAAGTTGTTTGAGGCTTAACTAACTCTACAGCTGTGTGAGGCTGAACAAGCTTCAAGTTGTTTGAGGCTTAACCAACTCTACAGCTGTGTGAGGCTGAACAAGCTTCAAGTTGTTTGAGGCTTAACTGACTCTACAGCTGTGTGAGGCTAAACAAGCTTCAAGTTGTTTGAGGCTTAACTGGCTCAACAAGCTTCAAGTTGTCTGAGGCTAAACTGACACTACAGCTGTGTGAGGCTGAACAAGCTTCAAGTTGTTTGAGGCTTAACCGACTTTACAGCTGTGTGAGGCTGAACAAACAAGCTTCAAGTTGTTTGAGGTTTAAGCGACTCTACATCAGTATGGGGTCTGACTGACCACACCTGCACAGGGCTGGACTGACCTACAGTTGTAGGAGGTTGAATTGTCTATATGAGGCTGGATCTATCCAAAAAGATAGGTGGATATTCAATCAGGTTGTTAGTGGCAAAAGCAGATTAGGAACTCTTTAATGGCTACCGAAAAGGGGGACAGAGCACATGTTGGAAATCCTGAGTGCAGTTATTTCAATACACCTTCTCGATGTAGGACCTATGTGACTCCGGATCCTCCGCACTTTGAACTACCAAACAATTAATAAATAAGAATAGTAATTTAAGGATGGATTTTTGTTTACAGTATGTACAGGAGAGTACATATTATGTATTTTTCACATTATGTACAATAATTCTTTGTATGTAAATTGCATTTTTGTGTTTAAAAATTATATGTAAAATTTTATAACACATTTTAATAAAAATAGTCTTTAAACAAATATAAGTTCGACTTATGCCCAGTTCGACTTGCAACACATCAGTCCAAACGGAACTCAGTAGTAAGTTGAGGAAATCCTGTATTTGACACATTAATTAATTCACATTATCTTGGCTGACCTTCTTACCGTTTTCTACAAGTCTATTCAATACCATTTCATGTGACATTGCCAGGATGTCTTTTGTTGACAGAGCTAAGAAAATTAAAGCTTCTATCTATACCCATGTTCCTCATTTACACATGATTACTTTTCATATAAACTTCTTTGTTACTACTGATATTTTGTCGTATACTGTTAAAAAAAAAATCACAATTACTGAAAGGAACATATATACACACAACTTTGACATTCTGCATCTTTGAAATGCAATAAGTGAAATTACTCAAATTTCCCTTAGGGTTCCACCAATCAACTGACATGTTTAGATGCCTGGCAACATGACTTTGATTTTCTTCTGCCTGCAATTAGCCAACAGCAATAGTTCTTAAATTTTTCTATAGAGGCGCCATTCATGACTGCTTGAAAATGAACTGAATGTTTTGGTGTAGCGCTGTCCTTTTATAGGGTGTCAATCACGTAGGCAGTAAATAGTGTTCACCCCAAATAGTGTTGCTTTCTCGTGCGCACATCATGAGTTATGCTCATAAATATGGTCTTAAAGGATAATATGCATTTCTTTTTTTTCAACAGTATATCAATCCTAGCTTTTTAATAAAGGTGAATTACATTTGTGAAATCTTTAAAGTTTCCTTAAAATTTCTAAACATCACTTTTTGTAAATTATATATTAACTAATTATTCATTAATGACAACTCATACAAAACTTCCAAGAAAATCTAGAAATAAGATTACACCATAATGAAATTAACAAATACAATTAAAAATTTAGTCATTTAAATTAACTTGGTGTAAACAGATCAGATAGAATAATAAATATTTTCATCACAAAGCAACAAGTATATCTCTGGGCTATTCAAACAGATCAGTTACTTATCTAAATATTTATATGGCATGATATATCTTTCAAAGAATGAAATCTTTTTTGTACTTTATTAAAGTAGTCTGTAGCTCAGTAGGTAAGCCATACGTCCTACAATACAAACACACAGGTATAACATATATTCAGTAAATACATTATACGTCTCAAAAACTAGAATCCTTTTCTGAATATGTTTACATGGAATGTTTTCTTATGTGCAGTACATGCTTTCTCTGTGCAGTGTGGCAACATGGAAGTGTATTTATACATTTCTGTATGATAAAAAAAAGGTAGCTAAATCTTTCCAAACAGTTGTCACTTGAAATCTTTCCCTATTAAGTAGTTGCTCCTGTACCCCACTTTACCGGCACTCGGTGGGTGATGTGGTCAACATCAAACTGGCCACTTTTACTTCCCAGGACTTTACCTGGTACCCATTTAACATCTCATCTTTAAAAAACAAAATTTTAAATTCTAAATTCCATCTGTGATAACCACAAAGGTGTTAAACCAATTTGTAGTGATTAAAAAGACTATTCTGTTAATCAATGAACATGAAAGCGTACTAACATTTAAGGAATTATGCTTCTCAAACAATGAAAAGACTGACAAACATGTTACGACCAACAATAAATTACATTAAAATGAGATCTATTGCTTGTTCCCCTCCCAGCTAAATGTGAAGCAAGTAATTATGCGTCTGAAAACAGTGGCGATTCTGGTTCATCTTCTACAGGTAACTCTGCTTGTTGGTTCAGGTGTTGAAGCAGGTCAGCTATAATGTTTTTAACTGCAGCTCCAACTCCCTCCACCGATGTTGTCCTGTCATTTAGACATTTCCAATCCCACTCAGATACACCTGGTGGTAGCTACAGAGAGAAGAAATTATATCATTAACGGGACAGAACTTTAAAACAAGAAATATGTTTGAAACAGTTAGTTTAAGATATGTAAACTAATTTTGTGGCAGAGTGATAACACTTAGGCCAAGACTACAGATTACAAAGGCTGAGAGTTTTTGACATAGAAAAAGAGAGACAGAAATATATATATATATAAATGGAGAAAGAGAGAGAGAGAGGAAGAGAGAGAGGGGAAAAGAGAGAAAGAGGGAGAAAAAGACAGAGAGAGATAATAAGAGACAGTAAACAGACAGATAGCAGAGTGAGTGAGTGAATGAGTGACAAAGAAAGACAAATAAACAAAGAAGAAAGAGAATGAGTAAGTAACTGAGAGTTAGAAGCATACAAACAGACAGACAATTATGAAACTGTCAGTAAATTGATAAATGAGAGTGAAAAAAGAGAGAGTCAGAAAGACACACTGAGGAGGGAGAGAGATGGAGTAAATGAATCAATGAAAAAAAAAAAAAAAAAGAGACAGGATGGGCAAGTACTATTGTATAATGTCAATTTGTCATCAGTCGGGGGCACCTTCATAATAAGGGTTGGCTGCAATGGGTTGCCAACATCTTCTGTTGCTTAACCTAGTTATACACTCTTCATCCATTTCTTACTTTAAACTTTCCACTTGTTTCAATGTCTACCTCTTGTTCATGTTCCTTCAACCTTTCTTTTTAGTATAAATTTCATAAATGGCATGATTTTAATGTTGCTGAAATATTCATATGTCCCTTTTTTAATTCTTCCACTTTTTCTTCATCATGAGTCACTCTAGATATACCTGACTGCTTTTGTTTTCATTTTTATGTTTGTCCCAGGGCCTGTCACTTTCTAAATGCCGGTTCACTGTCCGGTTTTTTTGTAAAGTAGTTATGAGTGTATATCTTCCTCTTCTTCTTTTTAGTGTTCATGAGCTGTAAACTCTTGTGCAAAGTTCTGGTTTTTCATCCACCTCTGAAGTTTGGTCTATTTCCAGAACCTGAGTTTTGCATGCACAGATCTGGTTTATGTGTAAAATTAACGGTTTTCAAGTTGTTATCATCTGACGTTTTTTTGTGCTTTTTTAAAAAACAACTATTTGTGACTTACTTATTGACTTCACCTCTTATGTTGTATCTGGATAGTCTTGGAGGACGTGATCTGTTGTCTCAGGAGCTAATCCACATGTACACATGGCTGATTCGCCAATCTTGAAGTTTGTGTAGATGTGGCTATGAAGTTGACTGTGTCCTGTTCTAAGGCATAGAATAATGACTTGCTCTGGTCTGTCCATTATATGGTAATTATCTTGTGCTGGTTTTGGTGGCTTTCTGATTGATAATTTTCTTCTTCTGTTGATAGAAGACTGTTACGTCAGGCTGTTCTTCATTTGCACTTTCCTTCGCTGGTTTATCAGCTTTTTTTTTAATCGGGAACTCCATAGTGGGATGGTATCCATTCTCATGAGACAATCTCATGACCTCCATATACTCCAATGACAAAAAAGTGGCAAATACAAGCAACAAAGTCAGTTATATCAAATACAGTTTTGTGGCACTTACTGGGAACATCTTGCCTGTAGCTCTGCACTCTTCTCGAATGGTATCAGTCTCATATGCACAGTAGACAGGTATAATAATGTGGTCATTCCAGACAAACTCTTCTACTTCATGAGAGGCATCTGGTCCACCTGGTGGTTATACAATGATGAAGATTTACACACGTCTGATATTTATTCTGGCCATTTCCGACTGCTTAAATGGCCAATCATGATATGAATATGCATGTGTTTCATCTCAAGAAAACAAAGTACTTTAGAGAAATAACATTTTATTTTTATAGTATAATTAAAATATAGAAAAATATAATAACAGTAATAGCCATATCCATGCCAGTAAGCAGCATTATGGTTATAGTAAATGTAGTCCCATAGAAGATATTGTGAAGTATTAACATGTTCACATATTCTAGGCAGATATTATCACAGAGGCAGTGAAGTGTTAACATGTTCACATATTCTAGGCAGATATTGTAACTGAGGCAGTAAAGTGTTAACATGTTCACATATTCTAGGCAGATATTGTCACTGAGGCAGTGAAGTGTTAACATGTTCACATATTTTAGGCAGATATTGTAACTGAGGCAGTAAAGTGTTAACATGTTCACATATTCTAGGCAGATATTGTCACTGAGGCAGTGAAGTGTTAACATGTTCACATATTCTAGGCAGATATTGTCACAGAGACAGTGAAGTGTTAACATGTTCACATATTCTAGGTAGATATTGTCACTGAGTCAGTGAAGTGTTAACATGTTCACATATTCTAGGCAGATATTGTAACTGAGGCAGTAAAGTGTTAACATGTTCACATATTCTAGGCAGATATTGTCACTGAGGCAGTGAAGTGTTAACATGTTCACATATTCTAGGCAGATATTGTCACAGAGACAGTGAAGTGTTAACATGTTCACATATTCTAGGCAGATATTGTCACTGAGTCAGTGAAGTGTTAACATGTTCACATATTCTAGGTAGATATTGTCACTGAGGCAGTGAAGTGTTAACATGTTCACATATTCTAGGTAGATATTGTCACAGAGGCAGTGAAGTGTTAACATGTTCACATATTCTAGGCAGATATTGTCACAGAGGCAGTGAAGTGTTAACATGTTCACATATTCTAGGTAGATATTGTCACTGAGTCAGTGAAGTGTTAACATGTTCACATATTCTAGGTAGATATTGTCACAGAGACAGTGAAGTGTTAACCTGTTCACATATTCTAGGCATGTATCGTCACTGAGTCAGTGAAGTGTTAACATGTTCACATATTCTAGGCAGATATTGTCACAGAGGCAGTGAAGTGTTAACATGTTCACATATTCTAGGTAGATATTGTCACTGAGGCAGTGAAGTGTTAACATGTTCACATATTCTAGGAAGATATTGTCACAGAGGCAGTGAAGTGTTAACATGTTCACATATTCTAGGCATATATTGTCACTGAGGCAGTGAAGTGTTAACATGTTCACATATTCTAGGTAGATATTGTCACTGAGTCAGTGAAGTGTTAACATGTTCACATATTCTACGTAGATATTGTCACAGAGGCAGTGAAGTGTTAACATGTTCACATATTCTAGGTATATATTGTCACAGAGGCAGTGAAGTGTTAACATGTTCACATATTCTAGGCAGATATTGACACAGAGGCAGTGAAGTGTTAACATGTTCACATATTCTAGGCAGATATTGTCACAGAGGCAGTGAAGTGTTAACATGTTCACATATTCTAGGTAGATATTGTCACTGAGTCAGTGAAGTGTTAACATGTTCACATATTCTAGGTAGATATTGTCACAGAGGCAGTGAAGTGTTAACATGTTCACATATTCTAGGCAGATATTGTCACAGAGGCAGTGAAGTGTTAACATGTTCACATATTCTAGGTAGATATTGTCACAGAGGCAGTGAAGTGTTAACATGTTCACATATTCTAGGCAGATACTGTCACTGAGTCAGTGAAGTGTTAACATGTTCACATATTTTAGGCAGATATTGTCACTGAGGCAGTGAAGTGTTAACATGTTCACATATTTTAGGCAGATACTGTCACTGAGTCAGTGAAGTGTTGACATGTTCACACATTCTAGGCAGATATTGTTATTGAGTCAGTGAAGTGTTAACATGTTCACATATTCTAGGCAGATATTGTCACTGAGTCAGTGAAGTGTTAACATGTTCACATATTCTACGTAGATATTGTCACAGAGGCAGTGAAGTGTTAACATGTTCACATATTCTAGGCAGATATTGTCACTGAGGCAGTGAAGTGTTAACATGTTCACATATTTTAGGCAGATACTGTCACTGAGTCAGTGAAGTGTTGACATGTTCACACATTCTAGGCAGATATTGTTATTGAGTCAGTGAAGTGTTAACATGTTCACATATTCTAGGTAGATATTGTCACTGAGTCAGTGAAGTGTTGACATGTTCACACATTCTAGGCAGATATTGTTATTGAGTCAGTGAAGTGTTAACATGTTCACATATTTTAGGAAGATACTGTTACTGAGTCAGTGAAGTGTAACATGTTCACATATTCTATGCAGATACTGTCACTAAGTCAGTGAAGTGTTAACATGTTCATGTATTTTTGGCTGATATTGTTACTGAGTCAGGACATTTGTACTTCAACATCTTTGTTTATCTGAGGACATAAATGCGTTGTGCCCTGTGTGCTGCAATATCTGTACCTTGCGACAGACACATCTGACTTCTGCAGGCATTTTCTGCCTGGGTTAGCCTACCTGGGTTTCTAGAATTCAACCCCATGATAGACAGGTAAGCATAACTATACAGTAAATACCTTCAATAAGCAAACAAATCTGGAAACATCTTCCCACGATGGCTTCTTTCTCCCACACACTGTTCCCACAAAACAGCGTCTGGCCAAAATCTTTGAGAGCAAATGTTCCATCAGAGCTCTGATTGTATCGCTCACTCATGTCCTGATCAAATGATAAAACAAACTAATTACAGACATTTATCTTTTCTACCACTACACTAAAAAACACAACTGAGGTGGCTGAGGTAATCTGCCTACTGCCAGGGTGGTCTAGAATTAACTTGTTTGATCCCAATCTAATCTTCTCATTATCCTCTGCTCTTTACCTCCCAGTGGAGCATAGGCCTTCAACCAAGTCATAAACTCACACACACTGGACTAAAGGTTACTTCTGACTATTTTGTGGTGCCTCACTATAACTGCTATATAGCTATGCAGTTTAACAGGGTTTCTTGGATGTAGCTGTCGTCACTAAAATGTTAATCCTACACATGAAAATCTGGAGAGATCACCATCAAATGTCTTGCTGAATTAGTCTTAATGCCGATCAAAGTCAAGACCTTTAAGCTGGCAGGTGAGCATCTATCCACTAAGCTCCAAACACTCCCAAATAAAACAAACGAAATGCTAATAATAAATTACTAAGCTTAAACTGATTAGCATAGCTCCAAGTTTTTTGCACACTGTGGGTCAAGAAAGATACCAACACTAATTTTATATTCCCTTCCACCTGAGTAAATGATTTTTACATGGAGGGATATAAACTTCAATTAAAAAAAAATGCCAAGTCAACCTGTTTTTTTTTGCCTACAGCTCATCCCATCTTTTTCACATCATTTTTGAATACCCTTCTCCATTTCTGTCTTTATTTCTTTGATACTGTGTGTTCTAGGGGCAGGACATTCTAGCTGTGTTTTTATCAGCTAAAAATCAACTTGCTGTTGCTTGTAAATAACTGTCAGATTCAGCAGGAGTTTGAGTAATCAGCGAATGAAATAGATTTAAAGAAATAACTAATGCAGAGATAAATGAACAGGAACATTCTAGCCTTACAATGACAATAATATAAACTGACCCTTTTCACATTACTGAGTGCCCATTTTAGGCTGGGTCTACCTAACAGCTGAGGTTACCTTGGTGGGGGTGGGTTGGGAATTAGACTTGATTCAGATCAAATTCAAGACCTTAAAGCTGGGAGGTTAGCACCTAGCCACTACGCTTCCAAGGCTCCCAAATAAAACAAACAAATAGCTAATAATAAATTACTGAGCTTAAACTGATTTGCAAAGCTCCAAGGCAGATACAATCAAGTTTGCCTACCTGTGAGTCCTGCTCAGGGAGAATATGCCAAACTGTTGACTTCAGAGACCGTTTCTTACATTCTTCATAAAATGTGCGGCCTACACGTTCGCTTGTACCATAGCAACCTCCTGTCACCACAGCAACATTGTTGAGCTTGGCAAGATGGGTTCCTATGGATCTGAATTTGCAAACAAGCAGACAGTAGTTACTCTCAGTAACAATTTACTTTCTTCACTGATTCTGCACAAATCATATATCAAGCAGTAAAGGATTTTTATTATGTCTTTTTAGACTCATTAGGATCTTGCCTATATTTTCAATGAAAAGCGAAACAAAACTGGAAGCCCATGATAAAAGATGTCAGAAGCTGAGAATTATAAAGTAAAGGACCCATTTCCATTCCTTCAGGCATGCGTAAGCAAACATGCTTTTCACATTAGTGGCACACTGGGTACATTATGGATGCTGAATGTTGAATTAAGAATAGACATCATAGCACTCAGGACACTCCCATTAGCGCTCTATCCTCACCTTCAGCAGTAAGTAAAGAGTTCAAATTCCGATGGCACCAGCAAATTTCTGACTGTATATTCGTCTCACCTCTCCCTTGCGTGTTTGAGCCAAATCCCCCGGTTACTCTTGCTACGCCATTGTCCTCAGACTGTAATGATCTATTTGTGCCTCTGCACTGTTCATTTGTTCCCGAAGGGCCCTCACATGTAGCTTGTCATACATTAATTCATCACCAAGAGGTGCAGAACCGGCTACTCTTGTCTGCCTACTCATTTCCCAACACACCAGCATAACCTGGAGAAAATATCCAAAGGACGCTAACTACTACTAACTATGCAAACTAATCATTTGATGGATTTAAAGACAAGTTTACAGTAATAGGAGAATTCACAAATAGTGAAGTCTGACATCGAGCTGAAAGCCCATTATACAGCACTAGACATGCTAGTAATAGCTGACAGAAGGCTGTGGACATATGGGAAGAGCCAATAAATGTTTTACGTTGGGAGATATGTTCTGCCCATCTATTGTGGATGTCAATGTGTGCTGTTGCCCCTGATTTAATCTAATTTGACATGAGAAGTCCCAGTAATTTGTAACATATGTAGCTAACACAACCCAGGGAAGCAGCTATAATATTAGGCTCATATTTTAAACACAAACTAGCACTCAAAAGGCAATTTAGTCAACAGTATGCCGGCCATCTTGACTTGCTAGGCTTTTAGCTGGTACCCATTTTAGGCTGGGCTGACCACAAGGCCAAGGTCATTAAAAAAATAATCTACCCTGTATGAACTTGAATCCAAGCCCTTTGGGCTTTCTTTCGAAAGTTTAGCCACAACACAACCATAGCTCCTATGCTATATAAATCAAACATAAGTTAAAGCTGATTTTTCTATCTGTCAGTCTTGTCTTGTCTTGTCTATCTGTTGATGCCAAATATTTGTTCAAACAGACACAGTAGCACAATTATTCGATCAAGAGGCATTCTTGACCCCTTACTAAACCATGTTAGTTCCCCTTTTCCTTTGTAAGTTAAGGACCTGTTTCACACCTTTGGCCCTTCAGGTATAAAATGCTAGACATATATTTTTTATAGATCAATCGGAACTTGATGGGTGATGTGGTCTACACCATTCGGTTCAGGAGTGCAATTTTTACAGAGATCCCTAGGGATCGCTGCTGGAGCTAAACATTTTGTACTTTGTGTGACACTCTTAGCAGTCGACCAGGCATTCTGTGGAGAGAGACTAAGCTATCTGGGATAAAAACCTGGTGCAATGAAGTAATCCTCTCCAATTTAACTTTTAACTTTTTTTTAAAAAACTGATACAACTTTTCCTGACAAAAAAATCAATAAATAAAGAGCAATTCCAAAACAAACCTGCACACAGCCTCAGATCTGGCATCAGAGAATTTGGTAGCTCCTGACACATAGACACAGTATTTAACATCCAGTGACTTCCTCAGGTAGTCTACCTGCATGTAGGTAAACACAGGCAAGCCATACAGTGTTTAACTGTCCAACACACACAAAATTCACAGAGCAACATGAGAAAAAGTTTAAACAAAATATTGAGTAACACGGCTGTTATTTAAACCATAAGGTTACAGTTAAAGATGGGTGGCAAAAAGCAGGCAATGATACAACTGGGAAGATTAGTTAACAGCAAGGCTTTTTTTTTATGGCAGGCAATGGATACGCAGTACCGAAACATTTTTCAAATCATCATTTGTATCACTGCTACTATAGGAGACACTCTATGGCGAGTATCAGCTCCTTTTTTAGACACTTTGTGTTGAGCACTGGCACCTTTTTTCTTCTAGAAAAAAAAGTCCTTGTCAAGAGACAGAAGAATAGAACAGTGTATAAACAATGCAAGAGAGAATGTGTTGGGAGATCCATCATATACAATCTTCATTATGGAGATAGCCTTGTCTAATGGATCCAACTGGATATTTCATTATACTCAATCTTAAGCCAATGCAGTGGTTTTGTCATTTCCACATTTTTTGGGACAACACCTCTGGCATTATTCCTAGCCTTTTTTGCTGTACACATAAAAACATTAACCTCTGACTGGTAAAGTGTCTTCTGTGTCTCTTTAAAATTACCAGTTGTACTAATTCTTTTTATTCTTTTATAATATGGACTACACATACAAACACTTGTAAGTAAACATTTCTATAACCTGCATGATTAACCCTTTGCCTCCCAGGGTGTTTAGCAACAGAAACCCAAAGAGAGAGGGGGGGGGGGGTAATGCAATTATTTAATTTAACAAGTGCAACACATTAAAACAGACCATACTCATTCAGCTGACGTGCAATAAGCACTTATTATTCATCAAAGTGACCAGGGTTTGTTGAGGAATAATATTAGCTTGTCAGGCATCAATTTACTACCAAGTGGATTAAAAAGCTATAAACATAATAATCAGAAAATAACAGACTGTCTGCAGTCTGGCAAATTTCTTAAAGACAGAGAAGCTAATCACAGTAAAATATTTACAGCAATCAAATTTTTCACACGGATGTGGGAGACAATGAGAAACAAACACAATTGATACAGAACACATTTTTTTTATCAGTAACACAAAGGATGTGAAACATGAGAATAAATGAACAATGCTAGGAAAATGAGTGGCTTTCAACGGATTTATCCCATTCCACAATTACAATATTTGCTGATTGGAAGCCACCGGTTATATGTATTCTAGAAATTCTATAGAGCAGGACTGTTAAGTTTGTGGCCCACAGAGCAAGTGGCCCTTAGATTAGAACCAGTTGTTTTGGTTTTACTGATTTTTCAAAGCTAGGGCTCTCCACTTTGGCCTGTGATGATTCCCATTTTGAACATTTTGGCCCTGAGTAAACTTAGTTGAACAGCCCTGCTGTGGAGGTTATTGTTACACAGAACACAGCTAAGTTAGTAGTTGCCATGCTGAGGGGAAGTATGGCGTTAAGAAAATCTGAAACTATTTTTATATCTGTACAATCTAAAACATTCATTACTCAATAAGGTCTGATGCATCCAGACAATGAAAAATAGTTCCTGCTAATTTTTTTTTCTTTTGCAGAAACATCCTCTTTTCCTTTTTTTCCCTTTTCTGTAAACCCTGTTCTGCCTTTTAGCTTCAGGTTTTGAAGGGGCATCTGGCGAAAGCCTTAACGTGTGCATCATAGATACTGGTGTTCATGTGCTGAGATATCCCATCGATCCATTGTTGGCACGGGTGAATTCTAGATCTGCTACAGTTGTATCTAAGGGACAAGGTTCTCTGTGGTGTACCATACTGTGGTAGTCTTGAGAGATGTTCAAACCATTTCTTCTGCTTCTTCTTTGCATTCGGTTTCGTATCTTCAGGTCAGACGGTCAGGTGGGTTGCCTCTATGAACTCACATGTCAGCTGCAGGTCCTTCATGGTTCCCCATTGCTTGCTCTGCACACTTTGCTCTTGAGGCCAGGTTTCTTTTCGTAGTTGTAGGTAAAGTGGGTAGGCCTGCAGAATGTCGAAACATTTGATCTCTTGTCTCTTGTTGTAGTTCAGCAATGGTTCAACACCAGCTTGTTTCCTGATATTGTTGTCTCTGTCTCTAGTTTGATACATTTAGGATTCATCATTTACACATAATTTCTGTTGTTCGACTATCTTATTCTGTTGTTGCTGATTTCCACATGTCCAAATTTTGAACTGGTAACACAACGCTGATAAAAACACTGTACTGGAGTACTTTTTTTGGTGTCAATTGTTTCATGTTTGTTCTGCATTGCTGGTGACATATATCCAATGATTTGACTGGCTTTATTGCCTTTGTACTCCATTTTTTTTCACTGGATGACAGTATGCTCGCAAGATACTTTATACTTGACAGTTTGACAGTCTTTTGCTTGTCTGAGCTGGTTTACTACAGAATCATCACAGATTATATTACAGATGTAAAAACATCTTATGATTTTCTTAACAAACATATCCAAAATTAAATTTACAGAAAAAATGCTCTGTATTGTGACCAGAGTAATATACTTACAGCTAGTGTTTTATTAGCCTCCAGACTATCTGTTTCCAGGCAGTTTTTGGCAGTTGGGTCCAGAGCACGTTTAACTTGCATTAACAAAATTTGATAAAAACTGGACTTGTTCACACTCTGTAATAAACAAACATAATTAAAAAACAATAAACATCATTAGGCTGTATTAAGAGCTTCCTAGGGGTAAAATACCTGCCCACAAATTGTGCAGACATGCATCATGTGCAAACATATATATTACTGATAAAGTGTGAGTTACACTTTTTTGGAGAGTGCCTTGTAGATATGAAACAAGGATTATTTTACAATTATTAAGTAGAAAATCCTGGCTTTTTTATTTCAGCAATACCGAACCACTGCTCAGTGTACTATGGATCAAGAACAAGACAAATAATTATGTTCTACAAGATCTGAACATTAAAGAAAAATTACATAACAGACTTAGATCATAAAAACTGAAATATTTTTGTCACAATATATGTCATAATTTATTTTAAAAGAAACAGTAATGGAAGAAGGCACAGTTTCTAGAGGAAGAGAGAGGGACTGACTAACATGAATACAGACACAGAACAATAAAGACAATTTGAGCATAAAAATCCATGAGACATGGACACTATAAAAAGATAAAAGTTTTTTCCGGCAAGCTGTAATTGAAGCGACATTGTGCAAAGGACTTGGAAGAGTTATAAGAAATTATATCTTTTATTAGCAATTCATAAGCATATCTGAAAGAAAATATCAAGATAACTAAACAATAAACACATCTTCTTCTTTATGTTCATGTTCATGTTCCAGTTCCGGTTAATCATCCACTTCTGAACTTTAGACTTGTTCAAGAACTTCAATTTTGCATGCACATCAGTTTTACAGATCTGGCTTATTTATATGCAGATCATTAGCTCCTTGCCGCTCAGAGAGATGCACTTCAATTTCACAGGAAACTCCTAATTAGTCCACTCTTATGGCATGCTTGTTAGGGAGGCAGTGGGTCTACTCTTTTTTGAACCCACGTATGGAAATAAACATGTGACCCCACACAAAGAAAAGGGGGAAGGGGGGGGGGGAGGGTGGGGGGGGGGGGGGGAGGAGAGAGAAGGAAGAGGGGTCAAGGAAGAGAATTCATGAAGGTCTTGGATTTCAGCCCTAGTAGTAGCAGAGTTTCCTGGCGGAGCCGGACTTTTTTCAAAAATGACCTTGGCTCCCAGGTCGACCCAGCCTTGAGTGGGTACCGGGTGCAGTCCCGGGAAAGTAAAGGCGGCTGGCGTGATGCTGACCACATCACCCATCTTGTGCCGAATGGTCTAGAAAAATATAGGTCTAGCCCTACATGCCATATACGCCTAAAGGCCTGGAAAAGGGTACTTTACTTTACTTAGTAGCAGAGTTGAAATGACTTTGACCAGGGCTTGGAGATTTATCCCATTCCATAAAATGGACACAAGTGGTCAGAATAATATGAATCCTCCCTGTGTAGGATCTGAGCTCCCACTGTCCAACTGGAAGGGGGAGAGGGGGGGAGAATAGATCCACTGCTTCTTATCAAATATGTAATAAAAGATGACTAATTAAAGATCTTCTGAAGTCAGATTTATTGGCCTGCAAAGGGTAGCTATCACAGGTTGGCTGTAAACTACAACACAACATGCCAACTGCCTTTTAAGGGCAAAAAAACAACAAAAACAACAACAACTGAGAATCATATTACCCATCATGTGCCATGATGCTGTCTGCATTAATACTATAAATCATATTTTGATCAGTTTTACCAATGTTCTCATATATATACACTTTTACTCAATGAAACTTGACGAAAATCCACAAATAGTGTGAGCTCAGTACACAATAAAACCGCTGATTTAGAAGTTTCTATTGAGAACTTCATAATATCAGTCAAAACTTCTTCGGCTACAACCAGATCATTAAGTACTTAGCATGAACCATCCAGTATTTAAAATGTTGGCTGTGTTGGCATGGAGTTATATGAGCCTGAGGATTTAGGGCCACTTGGCTAGCGGTGTCACCACAGAATGTGCAGGTTAGAATTTTATCTTTGCCTCTGAAAGGAGAAAACCCAAAGATTCAAACCTAGGTCTCCCAAATGAGAGCCCAACACTCTTAAACATTCAGCCAGCCTCTCCTCTGCCTAACATGGAACACACTCTCTTAGTGGTGGATGGTTCTAGTGCTCCATTCTGTGGAAAGAGAGGGAGAGCAGAAAAGACCCGCTGCTTCCCTAACAAGCATGTCGCACAAGGCAACCGATTAGATGAGTTTTCTTTGAAGTAAAAGTGTGCATCTGGCTTAGAGGCAAGAAACCAAGAGTCTGCATACAAATAAGCCAGATCTGTAAAATGGATGTGCACACAAAACTCAAATTTGTAACAAGAACTTTCTGCCAGAGATTACAGCCAGGAAACATAAGGAAAGAAATAGTAAAAAGAAGAAAAAGAAGAAGAAGAAGAAGGAGGAGGAGAAGAAGAAGAAGAAGACATGCAACAGACATTAAAAATAATATCACAACTGGTAAGCATACTAGAAGTTTCTTGGTTCTGATCAGCATCTTCAGCCAGCATGGCACCCTGAACTCTTCATAGACAATAGGCAAAATCTGCTTTCTGTGTTCACAGTAGTACACCTGAAAGTATAACACATAACGATATTAAAGTACTATCCCTTATATTAAAATTCCTAAACAAGATTATTTTCATTATGTGACAATAAAACATTGGGCAATATATTTACAATTCATCCAAAAGATTATTTTCATTATGTGACATTAAAGCACTGGTCAATATATTTCATATAATCAAAAAGATTATTTTCATTATGTGACATTAAAGCCTGGTCATTATATTTCATATCAATGTCATGATAATCTAAAGATGCAGTTCTTCCACAATCATATGTCCTAAGAGTTTTTACATTTGATATCTGTGTTGGCTGATACTTTACCAACACATCCAGCATTTTCTATCTCTAATTCTAAAACCTTGATTTTTCCTGATTGTCACAATCTTCTCATTACTCTGTCATATGACTTTTCTACATAACAGCTGCAGCTTATTTTAAAACATACAATGAAGTGCAAAACATGTTTTAAAAAAACCCCCAAAAAAACTTCACTTTTCACATCTGGTTGGCAGCATTAGGACATGAGCAAAGTTCTGAAATGATTTCTGGCATTCATCTCATACGCGTGTTACTTCTGCTATTCTATTTTTCATGTGAGATGATGTTATAGTTGTGGTAACAAAATTTTCAAACCTTGGAGATGGTACCAAGCACAGAGCACACACTCTGTAGCTCTGGCCATTTTCTTGGTGGTGGGCTGATGCGTGACTAGCCAGTTGTTGTAAGGGTCCTTTGGAAACGAGGGTAAAGTGCAGAGGCAAAAACAGATAATCTTAGTCTGAAGAGAATAGTGCTACATGGAGTGACCACAGGAGCTGGCTATGCTCAACACTCAAGGGAAAGGTGAAAGGGTTTTACAAGGCTAAGTCAATAAATAAGTCCCAAATGGTTGTTTCAAAAAAAAAAAAAAAAACCTTTAGGCAATAACAACTTGAAAACCATTTATTTGTACACATACACTGTCCCTTTATATTTCAACATAATTTCCATCAACATTGATGCTATTGTCCCATATTTTTATCAATCTTCCCAAACCTGCTGCATAGAACATGTGCTCTGTTTACAAAACCACATTTGAACTTCACATTCAGCTTCTGCATCATTCGTGAAATGTCTCCTGCCAAGGTGGGTTTTCAGAGGACGTAAAATAAAACCCATGTGAGCACTCTATTGCAGCTGCTACAGAGTCAACCGTTACTTGCCTGTCACCTCTAATCATCTCCTTCACCCACTGCATGGATGCGTCTGTTGCAATCTCAACAGGATGACCAGTTTGGACTTCATCAACAAGCTATGCACCACTTTACGAGATAAAGATTTGTCAATATAAACAGGAAGCATTTCCTTATGAACATCCATTTGCAAGCAACCCTATGCCCCCCCCCCCCCCAAAAAAAAAACCCTCACAACAGCACGTTGTTCTTTGAGGGTACACTCCGTAAGTACAGTCACCATTTTGTTTCTGTTTTGTGCTTTGCTACATCTAGCGTCACCTAATGAATGGAGACATAAAGTTCGATGTTGCTGTCACCTAATGACACCTTTAGAAACCACCAACTACATTTTCCTGCCATTCCTTAACCATTTGTGACTTACTCATTGACTTCCCCTCGTAAAATCAGACTGTTACTGGTGCCATGTGAGTTGGAACTCTGCATCTGCTGCTGAAGATGGGTACAGAGCATTTACAGAAATGTCCTGAGAGCTATGATGTGGATTCTCAACTCAACATTCTACCTTGGAGGTGTAATACATCCTCCAACTCCCAATCCGGTAAAAAATTAATGAAACAAACATCAAGCTCACCTGCTGCCTACAGATCCATGATTCTGTAAATGCTTTTGATAAAACTATGATGACCACCGTAGCTCTATCAACAACCTCCTGGAACTCATTCACTTGACCTGCTGTTATTTTGATTGGACTTTCTGCTTCATCCGTACGAACTATTTCTGTTGTATTCTCCTTTTTCTCACCTGTTTCATTGTGCTGTACAGCTGAAACACAAAAGAACAGTTACATTCAACTGTGCAGCTCTGATACTAAGATGCTAGTAAAATCATTTCACAATCCATTCCTTAATGTTGACTACAGTACTATTCCTGAGGTGAGAGGTTTAGAAAGTGGTTTAAGAGAGTGTGTGAAAGTAATATTTTGGAAGAGATTGGGGCCTTACCATGTATTTTTTCACAGTCAGCAGTGGACACATTGCAGCCAACCTCGGTGGTGGAGATGGCACAATTGTAATTTATTTAATCTTTAAATGGAGATGTCACAATTTTAATATATTTAATCTTTAAAAATGAGTAAAATAACTCAAATAAATGAAAAAGAATCTGACAGTTTAATTTAATTAGAATTAAGCAAACTATAAAACTGATGAATTAAATGCCTTAAAAAATTATGAAAGAAAGAAAAATCCTGAAGAATTCTATACAAAAACATGATATTCAATCCCAGGCTCAATAAAACATATTATTCCTGTATGTTGTTACTGCTGCTCCCAACATGTCTACCCTTGGCTGACCTTTCCTTTAATTATTATCTAGCTGTAGATAAACTGTTTTTTTTCCTTAATCACACTTTTCTTTATTTATGTGGGGTTGGGGGGGGGGGGGGCAGAAACCAACCAACCGTTACATATGTGATAATGCTTCAACCTCTAAGGCATTATGTATAAAAGTATTATCATAATCTTGTAGTTTATCAATCTCTCTTTTTAACAAAAAAATAGTTTTTCTTTTTTCATCTATTGTGTTATTCATTTTCTAACCATGTGTCTCAATGTAAAAATGACTAAAAGGGGCAGATTTGCTGAATTGAGTGATTCTGAGATGTGATGAATGGAGGAATACAATTTTAAGTCTGTATGCTAAATAATGATTGTTTTAGTCAGGACATTTTTTTCTAGAACAAAAGTTGTTGTTACCACAAAGAGTCTTAAAAGGTGATGGCAACATAAAGTATCTATCACAGTAAGGCTGAAAAAGATAATGTCCACACAACAAAATAAAAAAAAATTAAAATGGTGCCTGTACTGCGTACTGCTGCGTACTGCTGCGTACTGCTAGGAAAAAAAAGACTTGGTTTTAGTTTAACTTTAAAGATAACTGGGGAATGCAGTTTCTAAAAATGTTATGGATAACACACACTGTTGGCAGCTGGTCTAGGAGGGAAGCTCTGACAGGCAAACAGATGCAGCAATGCTTTTCTGATCCAGCAGCTTCTGCAGCCTGCTTTGTTCCAAATATACTGGTGTTACCTTTCCTTTGGAGTAAATCAGGCAGGACAAGTGAGGGATCATGATGCACGGGCAACATATGATCTCTATAATACTGCCCGGGCTTTACGCTGTGGAGAGGAGGAACACTATTTTTAACGCAGGCGGGTCTTACTAGTCACACTCATCATCGCCATCACTGCGAGTACCATACCTCCTCATAGCACAACATAACAATATCGTCTGGAAAGACAAACAGGTACCAACAACAACATTTATACAAAGTAATGATTTCTGACCTTCTTTACTAGAGATCAAATCTATTTTTCCATAAGATGAAAAATGTCCCAGATTTGGGGAAGTCCAGACAGAATACCCAGCTTCTTCTAACCAGTCCTTCAGCTGGAAGCCCTGAATGCAGAAATAATCCAGTTTTAAGACAAAACAATACATCTGACAAATGAATCACTGCGCTGTGGTGCACATCTATCATGCTATTATATCATGCTACTATATCTACACAAATCGGCCCACCACATCGGATTTTAGCAGACCAATCCATTATTTTTTTAATGGCATGTCCCCCCCCCCCCCCAAACTTTGTTTTATTCATACTGGTCATAAATACCATACATAAAACACACAAATTCAGTCTATGTAGTATAATTATTGTACATAAGGTACATTAGGCATCAGTCATGAGAACCTTTTACCCTACCAATGTAGTTATCTTTCTTTATTTACTATTTTTATTTACTTTATTTTGTGTGTTAACTCTTTGAGTCCCAGGGGGTTTAGCATCACAGGCCCAGGGGGTAGTAAAGAAAGTAATAAAATCAGCGCATCATGCGTTAATTGGGCTTCTAGGTAGGAACCTATGAACGTATGGTGCGTTCCTTGGGATTCAAGGAGTTAATAAGCGAGTGGTCAAGGAGAAGGCATATTAACAAAGGAAAGGGCTCTTTAATGCACTGAGGCGGACAGTGCATATGGAAATAGACTTAGACTTTTATTTAATGACCAACTGCACTGTCTAGTTAATGTGATCAACATCATACCAACTTTCGTTTCTTCCCAGATCATATCCGTGGCTCTTATTTTAGGCTTCTGTGGCTAAGTCAATGCGAACGCTTCCTAATGCTGGGATGCCGGGTTCGATCCCAGCCTTGCGTTGGTTTCAACAGTGGTATCAAGAAAGCCGACTGTCCAGAAAGCAATGGCAAACTACTGGACGTAAATTTGCCTAGAAAAAACCACACAACAGCCAGGGGCTGTTGGGGTTGCTTCTGCAACATCCTGTAAAGGATACACAACTAACTTACTTTAGGCTAGGTCAGCACAGCAGCCCAAATAAAGTCTTCAAAAATATTTCTTTTGATGCAAACATGAAGTATTCAGTATATTGAGCTAACAAGGTTAGACTCTAAATGATTTAAAAGCCAATCTAAGTTTAAAGTTAAAAGTCGAGAGGATCGACTTCATTGCACTGGATTTTATCCCATATGGTGGTCTCTTTCCTCTGAGCGGCTAGCCACCTGCTGGACTCCGTAGCTCGGGGGACTATCCCCAGGTATCTCCGTGAAAATTGCACTCATGAACTGAAGTGCCCAGCCATGAAACGAACCCACGACCTTCAGTGTGCGAGGCAAACTGCTTGACCTCTCCGCCACAAAGTATTTAGTCAGACGCTAAATCATATAAAAGCCCATCTAAATTTATCACTGTACTCATGTTTTGTGTGCCTGCCATAAAATCAAAATCAAATGTACAACTTACATAACTGGCCTCACACGGATGGACACAGATAACGATCTGGGGTCCCTGCAGTTCCTCACTGTCCTGGCGTGTCAACTCAGGGGATATTGTTGCAGGCAGACGACCAGCAAATGTTTTCACCAATGTTTTCTTAAAAAGAAAATCGGATTATGAATCTTTATCTTCATGATTGTACTAAAGCTCAGCACTACCTTTCAAATATACATTAGTTTTGACAGTCTCAGAAGCTTTTAAAGCAGCTGTCTAAAGGAAATAATAATCGCCATGCAAAATACTGAATGCACTAATAAAATTTAAAAATTCTTCTTCACCCTCTCCACAAAGAAGGTTGGCTACTGTGCACTAAATGCTGTCTTTAGGAATTTTACGAGATAAGGACCCAATCTCTCTGTGGAGCATTTATCGTACTACTGCCGGAAAACCATAAGAAAGTGCTGCCTTTTCTTGAGCTATTCTACAATGAACTTTAATATATTAATCATCTGCAGTTATCATAGTACTCAAATATCTAAATGTATCAACTTGCTTGAAGATTGTTCCAATAACTTTGATACCACATTTTGATGGGGTCAATTTTCTTTGTATTACCATTACTTTAGTTTTTATGCTGTTTAAACCAAAAAGTTTGGTTAAAGTTATATTAAACAATAAATAAACATTATGATGAATCTGAAACTGAAATAAGTTAGTCATATCAAATGTCACTCTCACTGGTCTTTAAAAAAAAATACAACAGTAATGGAAGGCGAGGTTACTAAACAAAGAAACCGTACAATGTAGGTTCTTTTATCTGAAATAACGGCATTAACAAAAAGCACACTTTCTTACCATTCTTTTCAGGGCAGGTTTTGAAACCTTGGCTGACTTCATAATTTTCAGCCGCTTTTCAATTTCTACTGCTACAATTTCAATGTATTTTTCTTTCCATATTCTGATATTTCTTGCTTCTGCTCCATACCCTGATGCCAGCTCTTTAAACAAAGAAATTAGCAAACAAAAATACATTTAAAAAGAATACAATATTAAAATCAATCCAACTATATGTCAATAACTTACAAAAATGAAAGCTGATATTTTATTATAAAAATTAAAAAAACTGGGGCACTATTCATGGGGAAAACATAATACAGCCACTGACCCTCTTAGAAAAATTAGGGATCTTTCTTATAAAGTCAAAGTGCATCTGCCTAGGAGGTGAGGTACCAACAGTTTGCACACAAATAAGCCAGATTTGTAAAGCGGATATGCACTCACAACACATGTTCTGGAACTAGACAAAAGTCAATAAGTGGAAGAACAACCAAGACTTTCCACCAGAGTTTACAGCTGGTCAATGCTAAGAAGAAACAAAGTTATAAAACCCCCCCCCCCCCCAAATGCAGACATTCTGCCTCGACCATAAATGCATTTAACCAGGATACATATTTAAAAAAAAAAAAAAGATTCTAACCCTAGCAGATAGGAACACTACTGTTTTTAGTTGTGGCAAGTTATCTGCATCTGGCTACGGTAAGCCACTGCACTTTCCCACAAATATGGACTAAAAGTATATAGTTCTTCCTTCAGCTACTGAGCTGAGTGCATGGTGTGACACTGTAAGCTGCAGTTTTCACTTGGAATACTTTTCGAATGTGCCCAGCATGGTTTGTGCTGCAAACTATAGATTCAGAAAATGGCGAATGGCTTGTTGACTCAAAACTGGTGGCGCTTTAATGTAATTAATTACATGTGCAACTAATGATTAGTTTTACCTGCTCTTTACACTGCACTGTTTGTGTTGGCACTTCTGCCTTATGCAGTTAATGTGTGTGTTGTATGCTACTGGCTTTGCCGAGACTAGTCTTGAGTCGACTTGTGTAAAAAAAGACAGCGATGGGCATTCTGTGTGGCACTGGCACAGGAACGGAGCAACTATTTTGTGTCCCTTTTCCTGTGAAACTGGAGCTGCAATTTCCTGATTACATATAAACAAGCATAAATTTTACCTAATGAAATACATTCAGGAGATTTCCACCAAATAAACTGTGTTGTAGCAAATTGAATAGCCAGACATTTCGGTGGCCATTCTTCTAGAAAGCTGACTGGTAAAATTGGTTTTCCAAGCACATCAGCAAGTTTTACCTGTTGAAGAAAGAAAGTTACTGATTCAGTTAAAATCAAACAACTAGAATATCTTTTTAAAGTACTGCAAGCCAAATTCACCCTTTATCAAATCAATCCTTTTACAAAATCAAATTCATCCTTCTGATCTGCAAAAGGGTGAAAATGTTTTACGAAAGGGTTAATTTTTCATGCCGATCCTCAAAATAATCAAATTATGCCAGAACAGTCTTTTGCTAATATATTGTTTTTAGAATCAGAAGTGCATCATCGCAACAGGAAAATTGATAAGGAAGAAAGGCTATTGTCAGACTTAATGACCAGCACCACATGACAGAGACTATAAAAATAAGAAGTTTAGTCCAGTTGAAACAACAATTTGATTATATTACTGGTGTTGCTTTAAATAAATAGGGATAACGTCAGGGTAAGACTGAGTGACAGAACTGGGGAAGTCCCTAGTGTGAGAATCATGGGTCATGGGGAAATTGTTGATTGACAGAACTGGGAAAGTCCCTAGTAGCATGGGTTTCTTGGGGAGATGGTTAAAAGACAGAATCGAGCAATTTACGTGTGAATGCGAGATCTGGGGGATTGAGAATGAGGTGGTCATTCTGTGACTGGACCCCAGATTGAAAGGAAGTAAAACTGAGTCCAAAGTGATAAGTATGAACGTGAATCTGGATGAGAATCAAGTGAAGGTTAGTCCTGAACGACAATGAGCGAAGCTGTGTTGAATTACTGGTTAGGACAGCAGTTGTGTTCTATGGCCTGTTGTTATGCCAGTCGTTTACATGCCAGTGTCAATCATCTGAAGCATGGCTGGAAACTTAGAGCCCGAGCAAGGCGAGCTTGCCTGAATGGCATAATTGATTAGTTCTGCTGTCGATTCTTGTAGCTTATGTTGTACTGATAATAAAGCTGCAAATAGCTGTCAACTTTGGTCAACTATCATTTAAAGACGTGTGACAGTTGGAGAGAAGAGAAGTTTGGCTGGAATGAACTGTGACATAACACCTAGACAACAGAGCCAGTGTTGAATCTGAACGAGGGAGACTAAGTGCGGAGGAGACACATTACAACTGGGCAACTGAGGAGTGGCTGACTGAATGGTTAGAATTATGGGCTCTCAAGCAGCAAACCTAGGTTTGAATCCTCGATAAGGTTGGGACATTTTTCCTGTTAGAAGCAAAAATAAAATTTCCAACCTGCACAGTGTATGGCAACAGCACTAGTCATGCAACCCTTTATCTTTGGGTCCCAAAGAGCTCCTCGACTGAGCTGCAAAAGACAGCAATGAATTTTTTTATAACTGGTCAACTTGGCTGCACTTGTCAGCAGTATAAGAGCTTTTGAGATTAAATAGAGTTCATAGAGGCAACTCACCTGATGGTCTCATCTGAGAACATGAAACCGAAGGCAAAGAAGAAGAAGAAGAAGATTAAATAAGCACTGATATCACACTTGACATTCTCCTATACACTCAGTCCTCATCTTCAGCAGTGGAAAGTTCCAGTTCTGGTGGTACCTGTAGAAGCTTGATTATATATCTGTCCTGTCTTTCCTATGAGATCATATTTTCAGCTAGATCCCCTGGTCACTCTCACCTGTACCATTTTCTCTTGTGTCGGTACCACAAGAGACCTGCACCAATGTTTACATAACACTGGTTACATTTGTCTACATTTGTGTTTGCAGTCCCCAACTAGATCTGCAAACAACAGCATTTCAATGTTCTTGGAATGTTTTTTTTTTTTTATTTTTAATTTTTTTTTTAAAAAATCATGTCTGTTTAAAAAAAAAATAATCCAGCAATGTGAACAAAGTAGGTTTTTACAAGCTAAAACAAAAGCTGAAATGACTGCACATGCTACAGAGACGGCAGTCATTCTAATAACAAATAATTAAAATTAGCAAAAATGATTGCACATGGTACAATGATGGCAAACCTCTCTATTTGTCCACTGGGTTTCTCCGTAACGGGGAGTAACCAAAGGAATAAACACTTCACAGTTACTGACTGCATAATTAAGGGCATCCTGCCAATCAACTCCTGATCTGATTTCATGCACATCCTGAAAATGTTACAAGAATATGTTGAAAACAGGGACGTGGCTACTGCTGAGTTGATAATGTAAAAGAAGCAACTGTTTCTGGAAATCAAACAGACTAAATATTTAAAAAAAAAAAAGCAGCTAATTCCAAAAATCAAACTACTGTGAAATGATATTGAGGAGGGGTTCTGTGGCTTAAACATTATTAGTAATTGCGTTTAAGTATCGTGAATCTTGAAAATTAGGGCTTTGATTTCAGTGGTGGGCAGTAGATAAAACATCTTTGCTGACATATCGTCACTTATGTGCCAGCTCAATCCATCATGTTTTGACATATCACCACAAAAGTGGCTTTGAGCCTAGACACTCTAATATTGTTTCATTTGCTAGAAAAGGGAATTGATATTAACATGTTTTGAAAACTAGAAATAGCGGAAAAAAAGTTTCTCCATATTCGAATTTTAATTAAATAGGCGTGATACGATTTGTGTATGATTTTTCAGACCAAATGGTTAGGGAAAAGGTCTAGGACTGCCCATACTACTGCTGCTGTTGATGAATTTTAACCAGATAGTGACACAGCAGTGTTGACATGATGATTAATAATGCAAGTCCAACATCTCTTGCCTACAATAAGGGTTCAAATGGAGTTGAACAAAACATTTCAATCAGATCGCCCCTGTTTCCCTTAGCTGTGTCTGGAATTTGGTTGCAGTGAAATCTGACATGTCACAAAAAACAGTCATAAAATTGAAAGTATTTAGATTATTTGTCTAAAATAAAGAGTAGCTGATGCACACTTGACTAAAAAAGGCATGTGAATTCTTAGAAATGGACAAAGCGTTGTTGCTGATCAATTTAAAAAAAAAGTAAGTAAAAAACATGTGCAAAAGATCTTCATATGTCTAACATTCTAGAATGTGTTTACAAAAAAAAAATACTTTATGGTTGCAATACTCATCTTTAAATAGGTTGCATGTAGTCTGTATTCATATCTCTCTAATTTGATATATGTCACTAAAAAGCTAATATTTTTTCTTCACAAAGGTTTTATTCAGTTTTGTCATGTTGCAGTTAACAAATTTAGCTAAAAATTAATTCTGTCTAAAACCAGAAAAAAATGGTATTCTAAAAGAGTTATGAAAGTCACACCATGAAGAAAATTCACCTAATATTTCCAAAAAGGAGCCATAACTGCAGAATAGCAATGTTCACTGTGTATTTGGCACATCATTAAAAAAAAAAAATAATAAAAAAAAACTTATTTTGACATATGGATATTTTATTTTGTGCCTGCTGTTTTGTTTGTTGAGAAAGACTTTGGGTGTCATTCCATTCTCTGAGGTCCCTAGTTGTTTCTGTAATGTCACTCTGTAAGAAGATATGCTTAAGATATGGCATATTTAACCATTGCTTGTGTCTGCAAGAAAAGATGTTTTTCTCTTAAAATGTTTCAAGCCTCTAGCCTTATTGAGGACATAAAATATCCCAACATAATTATAGAATTGAGTACCTTACAGTATATACAGTGTATTATAGATTGTCAAAATACATTACAATAATATATGTTTACACTAAAAAAAAAATATATTTATACATGAATAGTTAACACAGCATCTGCCTGTAAATAAACACCTATGTGACTAAAATCCAGACAAAGCTATTAAGAAATCTCAAAATTTCTCAAATATAGTAAAGTACATTTAAAAAAAAAACCTAAATTTTTGTGCAGACATAAAACAATAACAAACACGAGTAACAAAAGAAGAAGAGGGAGAGGAAGAAGAAGAAGCAGCACCAACTGCAGAAGAAAAAAAAGAACAAGAAGAAGAAGAAGAAAAAGCAACAAACAAAACACGTTCAACAGAAGCAAAGATCCAATACAATAAAGCATGTGCCAGAGTAAAGCTTGTAGTTAATAAGGCTAAAAGAGATAAATGGACAGAAACTTGCTCCAACTTAGACCTTAGGCAGAATGGAAATAAAGCATGGACTTTAGTTAAAAACCTCTCCGAAGAAAGTAGAAGGGTGAACCCAAAACCAATGACAGATGGGAGTAAGACAATCACTGAAGACAAGAAGAAAGCAGAACATTTCAATCATTATTTTGCCTCAGTTAACAGAGCAGGTAAGCTGTCAGAACTCAATAGAACACAGCTCTCTCAGTTGAAGAAACAAGAGAGAGCTCCAACAGCCAGCGACTCCCTTTTTGAAAATGAATTTAGCATGGATGAATTAGAGCAAGCCCTGAAGAAATTAAAAAACCTAGAAAATCTCCAGGCCCAGAAAAGATCCACAACGAAATGCTGCTACATCTTGGCCGGTCTGGGAGAGAAGTAGTTCTCAGGCTTATAAAACTTGGAGGTCAAGCAAACTTCCAAAGGCATTGAGGAATGCATATATCGTCCCCATTCTTAAAACCAAAAAGCCTCCAGATGACCCCAAAAGCTACCGCCCGATATCCTTAACATCATGCTTGGGCAAAGTTGCAGAAAGAATGATAAACAGGCGCTTATATTGGTTCCTTGAGAGTTCTGGTGTTCTATGCCATGAACAGGCAGGCTTCGGAACCAACAGCTGCACAGAAGACCAGCTGTTCAGACTGACACAAAGAATACATGATGGCTTCCAGAATAAGAAACACACAGTGGCAGTCTTTGTCGACCTCCAGCAGGTCTATGACAGAGTATGGAGAAAAGGTCTCCTGATGAAGATGATGAGCATAGGAATATATGGCAGATTGTATAACTGGGTGAAATACTTCCTGATAGATAGAACAATCCAGACTAAGATGCACAACGCAATCTCTTCTAAAGAATTCTTGGAGGAGGGCTTGCCACAAGGCTCATCATTGAGCTGTACACTATTCCTAATCTTTATCAATGACCTGCCAGAACAAATCAAGGCCCAAAAAGCCTTGTACGCTGATGACCTAGCAATATGGCAGAGTCATGAAAATGTGGAAAGTGGAGCCCAAAGACTGAATGGAGACCTTAGAAGACTGCATGAGTACTGCCAAAGATGGAAACTCAAGGTTAACTATGCAAAGACGGTCTACACAATCTTTACCAAAAGCCACCAAGTAGCAAGGAAGAATATTAACCTGTACTCACCAGAAACACAGAGTAGCCTAAACCCGTGAGCTTCCTCTTCAAGTTGACAGCGTGTTCCGCAGCCTCGGCACTGACGTAACTAATAAGCAGCTGTTTGCTGTTGCTAACATTCTGACTGTTGGTCACCATGTTGTTACTTGAGAAATGGTCTATGTCTTTACTCGATGTAAATGACAGCCTGACAGAATACACAAATCAATACATGTTTGAGACCATTTACTGCAGCAACTAAGTACTCAATTAATTTTAATCTTGTAATCTGAGTTTCAGCTTCATAGCAAATGGATCACCCTATAGTTGCTCCGCTCCTGTGCCAACAAAAAACACACAGAATGTTTACCACAGTCCTTTGTGTAAAGATTGACAAACTGCAGTTAATTAATACTGCTATTGTAGCAATTAAATAATCAATCAATTAATACCGTAATTGTAGAAATTACCCACTCAATAATCTTCTTGTTCCGTGTTCACCCTTAAATGGGTGGTTGGTGAGATCTGTTGTGGTTCACAGCTAGGCTGCTATGTCTGTACCTTTAAACCCAATACATCTGATTTAAGCAAACGCCTAATTGGTCAGCTTTCATGAAATCCGCCATGGGACCCCTAGACCCACCTGACAATTACTACAAAGATTCACTTAACAGTGTATGCGTATCATAGAAGGAATTAAATGGTATAACTCAATAACTTACGTCGAGCTCTGAGTGAGAACTAAAAAGATTCTAGTTTTTTTTAAAAAGGGTGAAGAAAAGATGCTGGTGTTGGATAGGACACATGCTAAGAAAACTGAGAACAATATAATTAGAAGGGCTGTATGATATAAATATATATATATGATAAATATATATATATGGTATGATACATCATATATATAAATATAAAGACAGACAAAAAAAAAAGGAGAGAAACTACATATGAAGAAGTGAACTAAAGAGTTAAGAGACAGGGACAACATGAAGTGAGCTGCATGCGATAGCAAAGGACAGGCTGACCTGGCTGACGGCCTGCATTGATTCAGGAAAAAACAAGGGCAGAAAAAGAAGAATAACCCAGGCACAGGGAGGTACTCAATCAATGAATGCTGTTTTTGAAGCAATGAAGTTATCAATAAATTAATACTGTTAATGCAGCAATTAGGTATTCAGTCAACTAATAATGTTAGTGCTGTAATATAGTAATCAATTATTAGACTCTTTCAGCATCAGGCAACTGACTACACATTCATTAATTACTCTTCACATCATATATGTATTTCACAACTTCTTGTGTCCCATTCTTTTATTACCATAACCCACTACATGTCCCGGGAGTTACTTTAATTAGTTAAATTCTGATAATTTTATGTTTATTTTAAACTTAAGAAGGCTCAAAGATTTATACTCTAATGCACATCCACTTTTGGGATTCAAGTGTTAAAGCAACAAACATCTGGCAAAGAAAGAGTTAAAGTGCCATCATCATAATGGGTGTTGACTGAAACTGATTTGTGGAGAGGCACTAAGTCAAATAGGATAAAACCAGTGTAATGAAGCAGATCTTTTCGCCTTTAAATCTTCTTCTTCTTCTTTCGTTCGCTTGAAGTAGATTATCTTTATCTGCAATGTTGTCTCTATTATGAACTTCATTGTCTTTTATAATTCACTCAGTGACCTGCAAAGTTTGACTTGCACTGATGTTTCTCCTGGCTCGCCTTCCAAAGAAAACTTTGGGACATACAGCGGGGCAAGCATCGCTTCAGAAGTCCCAGATAGTGTCCTTTGGATACTTTCTCCTGGGCATGCAAGTGTGTTTGGAAATGAATTGGCAGATAGACTTTTTGGTTCTGCACCATTTGGTGGCAAACTGATGCATAAAAAACTAGATGTTATCAGGGCCCTTAGAAAGTGAGGGAACAGATAGACAAACCATCACAGTCTGAAGAGAATGGTGCAGGGGGCAGTGACCAGGGCATTAACAACAGTCAGGGAAAAGGTAAGACAGGCATACAATCAGACCGCTACTGGTACCATTGAAATTAAAACTCAGTGCTGACTGCTGAAGATGGGGATGGAGCACTTATAGGAATGTCACAATTACTATGAAGTCAGTTGCAAACTCAACTCAACTCTCTTCCGCTGCGGTCAGTTATGTTCTCTGTTGAGTCCTGAACACACAGCATACAATGTACCAGAACAGTAAACTAGCACAGAAGTAGCACACCAGCTTAGTGTGTTAAACAAGTCCAGGAATGTTTGTCTTGAAGTCAACTAACTCAATGGCCTTGAAGTAGGAAGTATTAAAAAAAATATAACAAAAACATTAAAATATAACAGACTAAAGTGTACTAAAGAATTTCGAGCTGAGAGAAGGATATGTCAAAATAAAAATAGGATAAATAAAAAAAGTCCTATCTGTTTTGCCATGGGCTGTACATGATGATAATGTGTTCGGGTCTATACTGTGTGACTGAATAGCACTTAATGGTGATGTGGTTACCAGCAGTAAATACAACACTGTAGGCACAATTGGTGTAACCTTGTAATCTACCTAACACTACTGTTGGTTGACCCCTGTCCTAACCCGCCTCCCCACCCCCTTTTCCCCATATATCATACCCACCTTCTGCCATATACACACATACTCTTCTTCTCTCTTATCCAATTGTGTGGACCCTTGAAACTAAAACTAAAAAGTGTTTGGCATGCTGCATTATTTTTACAGCTGGGCCTCAATATCTATTCTGTTTCCCCTGGAAATTGGGTCCAGGAACTCATGTGGGGAAATTCAACCCAAAAGATTCACTCTAAAATATGACAAGAGACTGACCTCACTGGCTGTGTTTTGTTATGACTGACGGCCACCTGTGACTCCCACCTGCTGGGCAGTTTCTGTAATTCTCTTCCTGTGCTTTGGTTTTCTGTTATGCTAATGTGCACCTCACAACCTCGCAAAACTTCATGCACCGGAGTTTTGCCCTCAACCTCAACTGATACAAGTGAACCATCACTGTAGAGAAATTTAAATGATTTCCCGCTGTCATCAAGCTCTGATATCTAAGAAGAAAAGCATAATTCATCCAAAGTATGAGTAAAGATGTTCGAGAGGGATTCTATTAAATATTTTTTTAAAGGCATAATATGCACATTTTCAAACAAAAATGAACACTCAAAATTTAACAAAAAATTAAAATAATATTTTGTGCATGAGAAAGAAGGGAGAGAGGTAAACAGAGAGAGAGAGGGAGGGAGAGAGAGAGAGAGAGTAAGCAGAGGAAGAGTGAACACAGTGACAGTGAGAAGAGGAATAGACAGAGTGAGACACAGAGAAATCAAGGAATACACAGAGAAACTGAGACAAACACACACAGACACCACAACATATAGATCCATACATACACACAAGGATTCAATTTTTATCTGTGGCAAGATTATTTGTTCTGAGCATTATGGCTGAAAACAAATTCTGTTAATATAACATTTTTAAATCCCCAGTAATTACTGGCATTTTCAAGGCTAATAGACTGCAACTGTCATGTCATTTAGAGGGAATGACAGATAACAGACAGACAAAAACTACATACACAGAAAAGTTGAATGGGAGTAGACCATGAGGCAGACCAAGAAAACCTACAAATAGTGGGAGTCACCAACCGGAAGATAAAGCCAATCCCAGAGAGGCATGGAGGTGAATGATACCTGCAGCAGTGAGCCTCAAGGGTTCGGAATGTTGAAGAAGAAGAGGAAGGTTATGGCACTGGGGTTGATCAAGTCTCATAAAAATAAGCATCATACAATTTCTATAATTTTCTGGCAAGTGACTTGAAAAGAAAGCTGACAAAGAAGGGAACTGGCCACCACATACTGTATGCCATGGCTGACAAAGAAGGGAACTGGCCACCACATACTGTATGCCATGGCTGACAAAGAAGGGAACTGGCCACCACATACTGTATGCCATGGCTGACAAAGAAGGGAACTGGCCACCACATACTGTATGCCATGGCTGACAAAGAAGGGAACTGGCCACCACATACTGTATGCCATGGCTGACAAAGAAGGGAACTGGCCACCACATACTGTATGCCATGGCTGACAAAGAAGGGAACTGGCCACCACATACTGTATGCCATGGCTGACAAAGAAGGGAACTGGCCACCACATACTGTATGCCATGGCTGACAAAGAAGGGAACTGGCCACCACATACTGTATGCCATGGCTGACAAAGAAGGGAACTGGCCACCACATACTGTATGCCATGGCTGACAAAGAAGGGAACTGGCCACCACATACTGTATGCCATGGCTGACAAAGAAGGGAACTGGCCACCACATACTGTATGCCATGGCTGACAAAGAAGGGAACTGGCCACCACATACTGTATGCCATGGCTGACAAAGAAGGGAACTGGCCACCACATACTGTATGCCATGGCTGACAAAGAAGGGAACTGGCCACCACATACTGTATGCCATGGCTGACAAAGAAGGGAACTGGCCACCACATACTGTATGCCATGGCTGACAAAGAAGGGAACTGGCCACCACATACTGTATGCCATGGCTGACAAAGAAGGGAACTGGCCACCACATACTGTATGCCATGGCTGACAAAGAAGGGAACTGGCCACCACATACTGTATGCCATGGCTGACAAAGAAGGGAACTGGCCACCACATACTGTATGCCATGGCTGACAAAGAAGGGAACTGGCCACCACATACTGTATGCCATGGCTGACAAAGAAGGGAACTGGCCACCACATACTGTATGCCATGGCTGACAAAGAAGGGAACTGGCCACCACATACTGTATGCCATGGCTGACAAAGAAGTAACAGCTATGGGACTATCTTCAACTTTTCCTTTACAGTGTGTCATTCTGGGATAGACATATTTGAAGCCTCTTCAGTGAACCGTGGGGAGGACATCACAATTTAAAACTGTGATATCATTGTTAGATTATAATAATCTCATTATATATCCATATCCCTGTCTAGACCGATGGATATAGTGGTGCAGCCTGGAGCTGCAAGAAATGAACATTTCACTTAGAGAACAAGAGGTTTCGTTAACCAACATAGAACAGGCCTCATCAGTCGTTTTTCACTTATGGAGCTTTTGAGGAGCAGATCGGCACACCTATGGATCTGTCCAGAGTGCTGTGATGATAATATTTCTAATCACTAATCTCATTATAAAG